CCGATCTTTATCAGAGTCGATAAAAAGATTTTCTACAATCTTGACACTCTCGAGAATAAAATACGATCTGGTGAGAATTTGATCTGTGTGTACAAGTCACAGCGATAACAGTAACATGGCCGCCAAGTGTCACCGTGTGAGTTGAACTTTCCCTCTTTCTAATCGCCTTGGTCTCAAGGAGGTTAGAATAGAAGAAGGGAGTGTTCGCAGTTTCCTCCACTATTGGGGAATGAAACTCCACGGAACAAGCGGCGTCCATGTTTGTTATTTCAAAACATTGCAATACGGTAGAGAAACGTACGTGTTTGTAAGCTGTTCTGTGCATGAATTTTCCAGTAAAAATGTTAAAATTTATAATGAATGCTTCGCTATTGTTTTTTTTGTTTTAAAGTTATAAGATGATATCTGTAATTTACTAATACAGAAAATCATTAAGAATATTTCGAAATCTGATGCATGTGCCTACATTAAGCCTTTAAAATTATGTTTCTGCTAAGTTCAAGAATTTGTTTAGGTTTATAGCAACTTCCGTATAATTTATTAAAGAATCATTTTTAACCCTGAATTAATAGCAGATAATTACTAAAGTGGTAAATGTTGCTTTTTTTAAATGAAAGTTTTAATAGATGCTTTTCACACCAACACCATATCATCAAGAAAATATATTAATAAAAAAACAGATTATGTGAATTCAAAGATTTCAGTTTATGCGCGTTTCATATTTATGAATCTTAATGAAATACCCTTGAATTGCTGAATTACAGACTACCTATAAAAATTTTGGATATATCTTTTCACATGTTCAATTGTGTAAATATTTTACTTATTTTACGCTATACTGCCTATATTGTAAGCTTATGCAAAAACATTTTAAACAACAGAACAGTTTATCTTGATCAAATGTACAATATATTCGTAACAGTTCCAAACTAAGAATGAATAATAATTAATACATAAAGAAAAGCGTTGCTTTATTTAACACCTTTACAATTCATAAAAATAGTAACATTGATTTCTTACTTTTCATGAAAATTATAAACTAATTATAAAGAGTTCAAATTATACATTTTAAATCCTAGCATATATCATTGGTGTTAAGGAATGAAGATACCACCTGTAAGCAAAACATTAAAATATATTTAACATGTTTCGATTATTATTAAGTCTTTTTTGTCACATCTGGAAAGAAAACAACATGACATTGTGATATTTTTTAACATATTTATGAAATTACATAAAAAAAAAAGAAAATCAATACTTACGAGTGAACAATCACAGGAATATTTTTCGAAAATTTATTTGTGCATCCATATGCAATATAAGCTGACATGCTTCAAAAAGAAAAGGAAAAAAAAAAAAAAAAAATGTTACAATTACAGACTTCCTTGCACAAGTCACAACGATAACAGTAACATGGTCGCCAAGCTTCACCGTTTGAGTTGAACCTTCCCTCTCTCTATTCTAACCTCCTTGCTTGGTCTGTCTTGTCAGAGTTTCGAATTTAAAAATGGCAATGGTATTTCCATGGCAAGTTGAGTTTACAATTCTGGTAATTCGTGGTATGGTTTTTCGAAGTAGGAAATATGTTGAGCGTAATACTTGGCTTTATTTTAATAAATCCAGAATTGCAGGTGATGTGATTTAACCTGATGGTTCTGGAATAACGGATTTAGCTTTCTGCATAAATTTTAAGTTCTAACAGATATACAAAATATGTCAGTAAATAATATAGAGGTTATAACTTTATCATCATCTGACGAAGACACCCAGTCCAAGGTAAGATTGTTATTAAAATAATCATCACATTTAATGTGGCTTTATGTGCACTAAAATAAGATTTAAAATAATCTTGAAATTGAAATACCGTGAATCGTTGCAGATTTAGTTGAGAATATATACCGTTTTCATATGTGAATATGATAAACTTATATTGAAGTCTATCAAATCTGAATTGTTACATTGTTCGTTGTCAAAGCTGTGAACTGTGATATGTAATAAAACACCATAGTAGCTTACATTACAGATGGTTTTGGGCTATTTGCTGTAAGTTAGTTGATCTGTGAAATAGTTTATAGATTAGGTAGTCTTTAGGTTGTTTACAAATTAGAGTTGATATATATAGCAATTTATATATTTCAGACTGGTAAAACTTCTGAATTTGATTATTTATTCCTTGAAAATAAATGTTGATTTTTGATATCATATAGTTAAAAAAATATATGTGAATATTATTAAATAATACAGATATTTTGGTAATATATTGTCATTTTAATCTTTTACTTCTTACATCAATCCTCTGCATATGTACATGACAATGTGAATGTTAAGAATCACTTTTTTTTTTGTTATACTGTTAATGTTTTCTAGGTGTACTGCTAAGCATGGTTTTTGCGAGTCACATACATGGATTTAAGAAGTGTTAGTTGTCAATTTTAGTGGTAACCAATGAATAGTTACCCAGTTTGTTAGCATTTATTGCTAAAAGATACAGCAAATCCCAAATCATAATTGAAGCCAAGTAGCATTTTTTTCATCGCATTCTTTTGTAATACTAATTGGCACAATTGTTTTAAATTTCATATTTGTCTACAGTTTGTCCATTTTCATGTTAGTGAGTAAACATTTATGGCTAATCTTTGGAATGTGGTAACTGGTAGTTTGGCGACATTTTGGTAAGGCGATAAAGGTTACTAGCTAGGACTTTAGCAGTGTACATGGATAAAGTCAAGAGTGTGCGCAATGCCATTTGCAGTTCTGGGATTTTTTTTAAAGTGAAAATATGTCGACGAGTAGATGGATACTATGTATGTGCAATTCTTAAAAACGTGGCAAGCAGTGGGCGATTCTGTACTTTCTCTCAATTTCGCACCTAATCTTCGTCATGATTAAGCACTTTTGTTCCATAAAAGTGCTAACATACGCGTAATTCGGCTAGCAGATTGTTGGAAAAAAATGTCGAGTTAAAAAAAAAAAAATAAATAAACATGCCTTTACTTTGTGAAAACATAATGGCGTGCAAAATAAAAACTAGTAGGTTGCTGTAGCAGGGTTAGTCGTCAAATTTTCGCCAAAAAATCGCCAAGTTACCATAATCCGAAGATTAACCACATTTATCCTTGCAATTTAAAAATCAACACTAAAACCCCGTAATAAGAACTGTGAAATTATTTTTTGTCGTATTAAATAATTTTTGTTTCATGTTAAGTGATGGCAATTTTCAGTTTACCATCAATGAAAGTCAACTGTTGCATTCTTCCATAGAGGGATATATAATAATATTTTATCCTCTATATGACTTTGTAAAAATTGGGATAAACTGATGTTATAGATCACTGCAAAAGCCATATAGAGATGTACAGTCAAAAGTCGTTAATCCGGACTCGTCGGGACTTCGGCGATTCCGGATTATAGATTTTTCCGGATTATAGATCATCAGTTTAAATCTGGTAAGATGGCATGCAGAAATTACAAAATTAAAAATATGAAACCGTAAGTTATGAATAAAGAACAATTATGATCTAAAGAATAGAAAATTTAAAAAGAAAGCTTAATATTTATTTGTTTACTTTATTAAACATTTCTTTCAATGTAAGTTGTTTAAGTTGCTTTGTTTCATGTGATAAACTTCTCTTAATTCTATTAAACAGACATAATTTCTTGTTTAGTTACAAAGTTCCGCTCTTGAAGTCCTATAATTGCTGTGTTGTGAATACCGACTAATTTGTCAATCGAAATTTTCATTTTTCAATAACCTCTGGGTCAACTTTTTTCACTTCGAAGCGAATTATAATGACGAGGAACTTGATTTAAATCATATCAAAGACGGAGTACATTGAGATCAATACTACATTTAGTAAGGAATTATAAGCTAATAAATAAAACATCTGCGCCTGAAGATAAGATAGTGTTGACAGATCAACTTCCATTCATTACGAGCGAATTGATAAACAGATTTCGGATTTCAAAGCATACTTTCGCTTTGTAGATCTTTTACATATTAGGAAATATATATCCGGAAATTCTATTTGACATATCGAAAGTTCAAGCTTTTTATAAATTGCTCTAACGGCTGCAAAAATAATAAGCCGGATCCAATTCGAAGATTAAGAAACAATGCAATCTGCAACATTAATTGAATTAGATAATTTTAGCTTAGCTTATACCGTTCGTTACACATTAAACATGCATGCGCACACACATATTCGCAGCCGTAAAGGTCTTACACGCACTCGTAAATGCCTACGCAACGCATGCGCAGAAAGTTTGTAGCTTTGAGGTCCGGATTATAGATCTTTCCGGATTATGGGTGTCCGAATTAACGACTTTTGACTGTAGTATGAAATCTGCTAGAAGACAAAGTTTTTCAAGTCTACTGATTTATTGATCTGGGAACTTGCAGACGTAGGCAAAGCATTGAATGAACGTGGGATACTGTGAAGTGGAGAAATAAAAACCACATGGTACAGCTCACCAACCAGTGCTGTTTTCCCATGTATAGGTAGAAGCTAGGGCAGCACCTCTGTAGTTCTGTAGGTGATTGAGGTATTGCTGAACCTAGCTAACTGTTCAGTTTTGATCTAGATGGGATGCCAAGGATGGGGAAAGGAACTTCTAGGACTTCCACCTTTCTTTCCCTCTCACAAACATCTCAAGAGGGTTTTAGCTCTGCATTTATTTTGAGTGTTCCTTTTCTGTACAGACACATGTGAATAGCACATTAAGTGAGAAGGCAAGGTTTAAGTGGATTTACTGCTTACAAACATCCATGTCTTCTTTGGGGTTTGTACCTGGATCTTATTGTATGGCAGTCAGAGACACTAATCAATATCCCATATGGGTGGCAGTGCTGCCTTAACGGTATTATGGGCCACTGGGTAAACCATTATGCTGGGGCCATTATGACAACCATCCCTAGAAACAAAATGATGGATTAACATGGGAATCTTTATGTTCGTGAGACCCTTAGGCAAGTGTTTAGTGGGTCCATGGAATAAGACAGCCTTGTTATCAACATCTTAAGTTATACCTGGCTGCGTTCATGTGGCAGGCATTGTAAAAGCAATGATAATAATATATTTGATGTCATATTAACTACTACAGTCAAAAGTCATTAATTCGGACACCCATAATTCGGAATGATCTATAATCCGGACCTCAAACCTAAAAACTTTCTGCACGTGTGCCGCGTTGACGCATGCGCATAGGCGTTTACGCGTGCGCGTAAGACCTTTTACGACTGCACATAATAATTCCTTACCAAATGTAGTATTTCATCTCGATATGCTCCGTCTTTGATATGATTTAAAACAAGTTCCTCGTCATTATAATTCGCTTCCGATAGCGAAGAAAGTAACAGAGGTTATTGAAAACGAAAAAATTTCGATTGACAAATTAGTCGGTATTCTCGACACAGCAATTATAGGACTTGAACAGCGGAACTTTGTAACTGAACAAGAAATTATGTCTGTTTAATAGAATTAAAGAGAAAGTATTATCACATGAAACGAAGCAAAACTTAAACAACTTACATTGAAAGAAATGTTTAATAAAGTAAACAAATAAATATTAAGCTTTTTCTTTTTGCAAATTTTGATACCCTTTAGATCATAATTGTTCTTTATTTCATAAATTACGGTTTCATATTTTTAATTTTAGAATTTCTGCATGCCATCTTACGAGATTTAAACTGATGATCTATAATCCGGAAAAATCGATAATCCGGAATCGCTGAAGTTCCGCGAGTCCGGATTAACGACTTTTGACTGTATTACTAATTTAAAACAACTGGAAAAAAATTTCCACTTTTCTTGTAGCAGAAGTTTGTGCTTTTGGAAATAAAGAAAGGGGTAGAGTAGACTTTAAGGTACCCCTTGTATTATAGCGAAATTGTTGTTTGATTTATCGCCAAGTTGCTGTTTCATTTATGGTAGCCTGAGTAGTTGAATGTTATGGAAACCCTATTGTGACGTAATCGGGTACATGATTCTGGGAAATTTTGAACCATGGGATGTTTCATAAGCGTTTTTGTTGTGTGTGTTTGTTTGATTCTTTAGACGGTAGAATGGCCGAATGTAGTAAGATTAATTTGAAGTTTCGTACGATTTGGAGCGAAAGGGAAAAAGAGCTTTATTTGACTGGTGTGTAAATGAAGGTTTACTTAGTAGCCATCATTATAAGTAGCTATCATTATAAGTACCTATAAATTTTCCTCACACAAATTCCTCTCATTTCCCTCACACAAAATAATGCGTAATCGTAGCTATCATTATAAGTGTCCTGTATGTAGGAAGGATATGTGTCTAGTCGAACGTAAAAACCGTTTAGATGGATTTGAATGGGTTTGTAGGAAGAAAGGTTCAGATGGTCGCTATGTGAAGCGCTTAATCAGAAAGAGTACCTGGTTTGAAAAAAGTCATTTGAGTATGATTGATATTTTGATTTTTACAAGGCTCTGGGTGTATGAAGCAAACTCGAAAATCATGGTAAGTGAATATTTACTTTTGGTAGTGCTTAACTGTATAACATGTTTTTCCTTTTTTATGTTATTTTATTGTTTGGTTTAAAGGGTATTTTATTGAGATTATGCATTTTTTGTTTGCCTATATTGTAGAATGTGGTGCTCCTTTGACTTTTTAAGTGAAAATATATCGATGTGTACATGGACAAAAGTAAAGGGAGTGCGCAATGCACATTTGTGCAATTCGGGAATTTTTTTTTAAAGTGAAAATAGGTCGATGTGTACATGGATAAAGTCAAAGGAGTGCGCAATGCCATTT